CAAGCAAGTCTAAGAATAAAGGTACCCACTCCTTCGGATGGCTACGCGCCGATGGACCTCGATGCCATACATGCGGTTAGGACACATCGACCCCTGTACACTGCCCCACATCGCCGACCGCCTCCCTGAACCTAAGCAAGAACACCCCAAGACCTCATTGTCAGTTGACAAAGCTCAGCGATTCCGAGGGAAGCCACTGAGTGAAATCTTGAAAAGTCGGTACGGCGATGCTTGCCACTATTGCAAGCAGGTAGGCCACTGGTACAACAACTGTGCGTCTTTCTGGGATGACGTCGACGAGAAGGTCATAGATCCACCCCCTCGCGACTATAACACCCCCCAATCTAATTACCTTCCCCCAAACCGACCTTCCTACCCTCAAAACCGCTTGCGCCAACTGGATATACCTGAAGTTGATGACGGTAAAGTTCTTCTTGACTCGGGAGCCTCGACCCATGTAAGTGGCAATCTTGAATTGTTCATTTCACGAGAAGACCTAGCCACCCCAAGAAGAATCTCACTCGCGGTTGCTGACTGTACGGTTGATGTCAGGTTCAAGGGTCGAGTGCGGATCACAACGCCAAAGGGTCCGATTGAATTTGATGACGTTTATTATTGCCCGGGGGTTGATGGCCTGATCCTTTCGGTGGGACGCTTGACGGATTCGGGTTGGAAGTTGAAATTCATGGGAAGGATGGCCACCTTAATTAGTCCTAGCAATATCTCTTTCACTACTCGCTTTCAAAACTTTTGCTGGTATATTGCCATGTGTAGAGACGCCATTGAAATAAATAAAGTTACTACTGTGCCATCTTTCGATCCGTACCTGTGGCATCGCTGCCTGGGACATGTATCTGAAGCAGTAGTTAAGAAATACTTGAGCTTACACTTTCCGGAAGAAATTGAGAAACGTGCCTGGAAGTCTTTTTTCTGTGATCAATGTGCAAAATCAAAAGCTCTCGACAAGAAATCTCCTGGGTCCAATTCACTTATCCCACAAGACGAACCTCTTGATCTACTAGTCTCAGATGTTGCAGGACCCTTTCCTTATGATATATCCGGACGTAGATACCTACTCACAATGAGAGATCATGCAACCACCTACATATGGACTGCTATCCTAGTAACAAGGGATCAAGTACCGGCTCAAATAATGGAATGGGTCGAAAACATCAAGGCAACACTAGGAAGATACCCCAAGACCATTCGGACAGACAATGCACCCGAATATACTGGCACCCTCCGGAAATTGCTCAAACCTACTGGGATCAACTTTGCCCCTGTACCTCCGTACAGTCCAGAACAAAACGGCGAAGCTGAACGTGTCAACTGAACTCTGGGGGACATGGCTAGAACAATGCTTCATGAGAGTATGCTCCCTAAGCCTTTCTGGGGACATGCATATCAAGCAGCATCGTACATCCACAACTGAATCCCCAACTCAAAAGTCGCTGATTCTCTCCTGACCCAACTATTCAACATTGAAGTCGACCCGAATAAACTCTATCCATTTGGAGCATCAGCCATAGTTCTAGTACCCAAAGAAAATCGAGATAAACTCGACGAACGTGCGCAAGATGCTCAAATGATTGGTTTTCCGTCGACAGGAGGAGGGTGGTTGTTCTGGTCAGCAGCAAAGAATAGGATTATCCATTCAACAGCCGTGATGTTTCCCGAATTTGTGAATCTACCTCGGAAATTAACGACTGTGGCTGAACCGCCAGCAGAAGAAGAGTCAACATCAACACTCGACATTGTCCTCAATCAAATCATCTTGAAGCTTGGAGAAGAACCAACTGATGTGATCCAGGCCGAAGAAAAGAAGGCAATCTCGGAACTGGTGCTTACTGAAGACCGAAGGATCCCAAACAACATCAAGATGGTGCTGAAATGTAACAAGTCCGCTGATTGGAGGATGGCTGCGGAATACGAAGCCGATAAATTTGATTCACTACAAGTCTGGGAACCAATTGAACCTTTCCCTGGAGCAAAAGCACTTGGCTGCCGTTGGGTCTTCACTATTAAACCCCCTGAGAAAGACGGTGATCCTGAAATCTTTCGTGCAAGATATGTCGCAAAAGGATTTAATCAACAAGTCAGCATTGATTGCAATGAAACGTACGCACCAACTGCATCACTGAACACCCTTCGACTACTCCTGTCTTTGGCCAATAAACATGGTTACGCCACAGCAACTTTCGATGTCAGCTCGGCTTATCTATACAGCCCAATTGAAGAAGAAGTCTATGTTCAACCGCCAACTGAAATCCGGCCGGAATGGAAAGGAAAAATCATGCGCCTGAAGAAAGCAATTTATGGAACTAAACAAGCAGCGCGATGCTGGTGGCAATTTTTCAAAGGGAAGATGGAAAAGGCAGGTTTTGTAGCTTCCGAACTAGAACAATCGCTGTACATCTACAGGAAGGACAAGGATTTTGTCATCATCTGGCTACACGTGGACGATGGACTGGCGGTGGGATCAAGTAGAGCGTTGTTGGACAATCTCAGGCAGGAAATGCAGAAGGAAATGAACATCAAATGGAGTGATGGGGTGAAGAGGTTAGTGGGACTGAACATTGTGGATAAGGATGGGGAAGTAATCATGGATCAAGAGAAGCTAGCTAGCCAAATTGTTCACGACTATGAGCGACCAATTGTGACTCAGCCGGCAAGCCCACTCCCGGACAATGCCCTGGAACTCAATACTACGACTCGTGCTCAAACAGAATATCGATCTATCATAGCTCGCTGATGTACCTTGCATGTGGCACACGTCCGGACATGTCTTACGCCGTCAACTTACTTGCAAGATATTGCAACAACCCATCAAGTCAACACTGGGAGGCACTGGATTTTTTGATAGGATATCTGAAGAGGTCAACATCAACAAAATTGGTATTTAAAGGACGGGATGAAAGTTTGGATTTGTGGTCGGATGCGAATTGGGGCGGTGAACATGAAAGATCAACATCCGGTTTTGTCGTCAAACATCTGGGAGATTTGATTGCATGGGGGGCAAAACGTCAGACGGTGGTAGCTCTATCTACTTGTGCCGCTGAATACATTGCGCTGTCAGACGGTGCACAACACCTTGCCAATCTCGCCTTACTTTTGGAAGACATAAACCATACAGTCAAAATGAATGTGTTTTGCAACAACCAGACGGCTATACTCATTGCTGGCGACAACGCTTCCAAGAAGAAAACAAGATACTTAATTCGAGCATTTTATTTCATCAATGATTTTGTGCGCGAGAATGAGATCAAAATCTTGTGGACTAACACCAACAATCAATAAGCGGACATCTTCACTAAGAAACTAGGCCCTAACAAGATTGAAGAAGCAGTGCGAAAATTGGGCTTGAGATGGTGAAGTTTGCAATCTTGGGGGGGGGGTGTTAGAGTTAGCGCGGAGACAAGATTACAAACTTAACTTAGTGTCATGTAGATAGTGTTTCAACTATGTTTATCATCATGTGTGACCTAGTTGCTGCGGCACATCTCTTGTACCTAGTTTAGTTGCCGGCCGCTCCGGTCCCGGCTCCTCTCTCTTTCCTCACCGAGTTTGGAGTCGAGATCGCAGCGCGCCGTTAGCTTACCGTGACGTGTTCCTTTTTGTCAGGTAAGTGTAATCAATACCGAGTTTGGAGTCGAGATCGCAGCGCGCCGTTAGCTTACCGTGATGTGTTCCTTTCGTCA